CACTGCGTTGATAGAATATTCGGAGGAGGGATTGGAAATTCATGTCGACGCCCCTAATGCATTTTGTTTTCAGTATATTGCTATTTTTATGGTTTTGAAAGGGGTTTTTGCTCACTGGTTTGCATTCGGTGCTTCTGCTGTTGTCTCTTCTGTAGAGGGTTTAAGTCGCTTTAAGGGGTCCGTGTCGGATGGGAGGGTGCGTTTGGAGGGTATAGTATCCGGGTCATCGGATGTCGTCGTCATATTTGTATAAAAACCAAATCTCAACTTTTGAAGTTGCTCGACAAATGAGGGTGCTCAAGGTGCTCAACTCTCCAAACCTCTTTGCTCCGATCCCCCACTTGTCCGAAAAGTCCGAGATGCATTAAATGTCATTTGACTTTATTAGGATAAAGTGATCATGACACATTGAACCGTGTTCAAGTCATTGAACGTGGGTTCGTTACTTTACCTTGACTGCTGTCAAGGCGACATGCGGACATGTCACATCATGAACCTATCCACGACGAATGGGATGTAGATGATATTGAATGGGATTGGAGTGAGGAGGGCGTACACGAGGATGAACTTGCTCTAGAACCGCATGACCTGAATGCAGAGGACGAACCAATTGCGCAAACATCCCCACATGCACCACAAAAAACGATAGAGAATGGAGAAATAGCAACGTCCGAGGATACAACACAAAGTCAGGAAGATAGTATGAAATCCCGATTACTTATCAACCCCAATAAAGCCGGTACACAATATATACCTAAACACATTGTCGCCAAAATCGTTTACGAAGCCTCTCAAGTCCGTTCCCTTTTTTGGCTTCCGTATACCCATATCACTGTTTTCCACAAGTTGACGATTTTGCATTTTTTGTTAGGGATCACCTTTCTTTCTTGCTGAACAACGCCGAGACGCTCTCGTCACAGCTCGTATCCAATCCCTCCAATCCCGCGTACAAGCCATCCAAACCATGGACCTCCGCCTAGAACGAGGCATCGTCGAAAGCGTACTACGAACCGTAGAAAAAGAATGGGAGACATCTGAACGGAGGTGGATTGTTTGTGTTGATATGGTTTGTTTTGTCATAATGTTCTTTCATTATATTTCATGTTTGTTTATATGGATTTTTATTGGTTTTTTTTAGGATGGTGGGTATGTGACCCTTGTCGTTACCCGCTTTCATACACTGATATTTTCAACCTTACAGCATTTTTTGCATCCGTCGAAGAACTCGATCGACCCGAATTGAAAAATAAGGTAACACGATTTACATGATTTATAACGCTTGGTTCTTTTGCTCACCTTTACTGTAGCCAATGGCTGTCGGGGTAATCCCGCATACGTTTTATTAGTTTGTGTTTTTTGGTTCTGAGTTTACGTGTAGGGCATGTCCATGTTGTCTACGGCGAATTATGAAGGTATTCTTTGAAGACACAGTATTTTTTTAAATGTTGTTATTGTTGAATTTATTGTATAGCTAGGTGAGATCCCCTTGTGTCGATCATCAAGAATATCTAGTCACTTTTTATGATGCATGTTGAAAAGAAAGTACGGTGTTCGATCTGCCATGCCTGGTACGTAGTTTTACGAGGACACTTTCAAAAGATTATGTTTTTGATCTTTACTTTTATTAGGGTATATTGCAAAGGTAAATGGCCTTGTCACCAGCCATGATGCAACCTAGATGGTTGTTGCTAAATGGAAAACAATGACAAACAACAGAAATTGTGCCCCAATTTGATTCTCGTTCGTTCCAATTTTGATAAATACACGGCGGTGAGCAAAAAGATTCGGGAGGTCTTTGCGGTAAGGATTTTGTCGGGTATAGTTTTATTTGTTGTCTTATTCAACTCATTGATTGAATGTCATTATAGATGTATGATCCACAGTTTAGGTATGGCTCCTGTATTCCACATTTTAGAGTTTTGCGTTTTTAGCTGAAAATGTTTTTTATTTATTCCAGTCCAATGAGCTTGGATGAAGGTACGTTTCTGTTTCCAAAAACCAATAGATTATATCGCATGCCCAGTCTTGCTATTAGCGTATCTGGATATCACCGATTACCTTTCTGCGCACCCTGAACACACACCCGAATCCGTCGTATCTGAGCTTCGAGCAGAAATATTTCGGTGGGTAGCGGACCCCTTCTTGTTGACAGTGGACTTTTTCTCATGTCTGTTCATGTACAGTCGGACAATGCTTACTGCGAGTGCAGGTGCAGTTGGAAATAAAGCGGCATGTAATGATACAATTTATTCACACTCTACCGCATTTTTAGGTATAGCGGCAAACAAGTAGGTTTATCGAACGACTAGGTGCGATTATGATAGTTGTGCTGATTCTGCCATGTGTCTTTCTTTTTATTATTCGAGAATGCTGGCAAAGGTATAACGTAGCCTTTGATGCTCATATGCTGAACCTGAGCTGATTGTTCCTTGTCTGGTATGTAGGTTTGCGCGGGTACGTAGCCACAAATTCACATCATCCCAACCCACAAGAAAGATCTCAAAAACCACTCAAACCAGACATTAACAAACCCAATGGACAAAAATTCCTTCCTGTGGATCGGGAAAGTATTATGGAATTTGTTCGAACATTGCCGATACGTAAAGTCCCAGGTCATGTCATGAAGTTTTTCGATGCACAAGGGACGGTTAAATTTCATGCTATTGAATGGATTAGGTGTGGGGAAAGTCAATGAACGGATTTTAAAGTCCCTTGGAATTGAGACATGCGGGCATCTGGTATGTCCGTCTGATTACATTCAACAAAACCACACTAATCAAAGAGAATTAAATAGAAGGAACACCTCGTGCTTATTTACAAACTCTTTTCACCCATCATGTTCAATTTTTGTGTACGAACGAGTCTTGGAGTCGGATCAACCCGAGATTGAATCGTATGTTGAACTTTTTTTCTTGGTTTGTTATGTTCGCATCTAATGAATCATGTAGGGATAGCGAGAGAAAAAGTATTGGGGTAGAGAGGTACACCCCATCTTTGACCATTTCAAAAAACCCCACATTGATACTTAAATCCCTATAAAGAACATTTGCACCCATGCAAAAATCATCAGAAATGTACGAAAAACTCTCTGAACTCTCTGAATACCTCGCAACGGACCTAAAAAAACACGACACAAAAGGCCGGACCTTGACACTTAAACTCAAAACCACTGAATTCCGTCTCTTTACCCGTGCAAAGACCTTGATGCGGTTCATGTGCACCGCTGAAGAGATTTTCCATTGTGCACAACAGGTATTTTTTGTTTTTTGTCAGTGGTTCGGGGGTTATGCATTTATTGTGTTTGATGCTAAATCCTTTTATAAATCAGCTCCTTGCGTTGGAAATTACCGCAAATCCCGGGTTACGTTTACGACTCATGGGATTATCCATGTCAAAATTATCCAGTCGGTCCATGGATGAAGACGGTATCGCAAAGGTACAAGCGCCTCTTCCTTCCTCATGTACTCTTTTCACATGATTGACATTTTGATAGTTTCTAAAACGCCCCTCACCTTCCACTCCGTTTCCAAACCCGCAAACTTTAACATGTCCTGTTTGTTGTAAAGAGTTTCCGGATATTTCTGAGCGGGATATGGCTGAGCATGTGGGTAGATGTCTTGAGGATCCTCATATTCCTGATGGAAGTGGTGAGATCAAGGGTGATGGGATGGTCCGTATCGTGCTATATAGATCACAGGACACTTTGCTAATTGGGGTTGATATTACAGAAACGACCCTCTAAACGCAAAAAAGAAACGAAACGGGATAAACCAAGTTCTAATCTCGTGGAATGGATGGTATTGTTTGTCGATATATATTTGTCCATCTGGTCTTTCTAATACAACCCTCCTGCATTTTTATAGCAAAAACGGAGCTCATCTCCTTTGCTTGATCAGCCCGTATGTCCCGTATGCGCAACGCCATTCACAGACCCGTCTGATCTCGCTAGTGTGAATCGACATGTGGATGCATGTCTTTTGGGTGAGAAGCAATAGATGCGACAAGGGATAAAGTTGAGGATAATCACTTTGTTCGAAAATAATTGGTACTGTGTATTTAAGGAACCCATTGGGTTGTGTTTTTTGAGCACAAAGATTGTGATTCAGAACGTTTTTTTGCAAGTCCAACGATGCATACCCCGTACATCTCTATGAGTAGTCTATAAAGTCTATATCCATATACCCAACCCCATGATTCGTACATTGAACGAAACAAGCAAAGGAAAAAAAAAAAAAAGAACACAAGCACCGAAACACATACAAAGACACGCAAATCAAGCGTATAAAAACCAGGTATTTATCATTTCCACCCTCCATTGAGCGGCACCTCTTGTTTCTGCGGTGCAGGTTTGGAAAGCATCATCCGGTTCTTACAGACGTAATTTGCCGTGCACACCTCACAAGCATTCTCATTCGCAATCCCCAGTTTGATCAACACCCAAAACATGGCACACCCCAAGCACACATCATACATGGCTTGCGCAGCACACGACGCTGCAAAAATGGCGAAAATCCATCGGGCACCGTATACCCACCCCAAATGCCAGGCAATCGTAAAGGCAAACATCAAGGGTAAGGGTTGCACTAGGGCGAGTTTCCGGGGTGGGCCAGCCACCATGAGATCTTCAATCCATCCCCACCGATCCACAATGAGGGGTTTCAAAATAAAGAGGTTAATGTACCCCAATGGGTCCAATCGAAATCCAAACATGGCTCGAAGGAACGCAAGCGTCATAATGGTCCAATACGCCGCAGGAGAGTTCCAGTAAATATCTACAATAGGACCCAATGTACACCCAATAAAGGCCCAGGTAATCCATATCCGGACTTCAGCTTCGTTAATGGGGTTTGGGAAGGTGGTAAACTCTTTCCAGGTCATGCTCCTCCAATTCTTCCACCACATGGCTTGTTCTTCGGCGGTTTGGATGCACAATCGGGTCCATGCCTCGTCTTCCTCGATTAAACGGTACTCTCGCTGAGCAATCTCATTAAAAGGTTTAGCGGCTGGATCAGTAGGGCTACCCAAAGTCGATTCACGGTTGACCGAGTTGGTTAGACTCGCCGTACTGCTGAGCGGTCCAACTCGAACAGCGGGAACGGAAACAGTGACTTGAACTGGCGTTGCACTCCCCGTGTGATTCGAAGTACGCAAGAATGGTGACGTGGCAGTGAAATCCGATACTTCAAACAAGTCTGCAGCTGTAGCGGCACTAATCCCGAGAAAAACCATTTCAAGAATCCCAATCCCCGTCATGACGGCCGCGTGCCAGACTTGAACGGGACGCTTGGGGAAATTGAAATCAATCTCTGCAGGACTAAACACAATGAGCCGGACGACGAATCCGGCACACGTCAGAGACCCGCTAATCGTAAACAAGTACAAGAGATTCAATTTCCGGAGCATGACTGTTTGCCGACGATCTTGTAAGGGCGTCATCCTCGCTTTGGCGTTTTGGAAATGCATTGCCGTGCGTCGGCGGGCAATATTGAGAATCACACAGTTGATTATAAACGCCATGGTCATGGTCCCACAGAGTAGGACTTCAAGCTGGTAAATTAACCTCGGAAGGTGGGCCGCGATAACGCATTGTGCTATAAGTGCTAGAATCATGGGTGTCCCAGTAAGGGCAGCGAGGAACCGACATGACCCGAATAGGGAATGAGATCTCTCGGTGCTGATGGTGGCATACAGCTTTGCGGCAATAGCACCATACGACGCAAGCTGAAAACCAAATATAGGATGAGAAAGATCCCTCTGAACAAATAATGAAAAAACAACTTACCACTAGCACAAGATAAAACCTGTCCCAAAAGAGTTGAACAGGGATATACCACGGCGTTATCTTTACAGCATTGACGATCCGTCCAATGAAATGAACAAACGAGGCAGCCGTCAACCACACTAAAATCTTGTCACCAAACCGCTGGGAGGATATACCCGTCTTGATGTAATGTTGCATACATTTTCCAAACACCTATCATTCATGGTATTATCAATATTGATATCCAACGACAACTAGACACTCGAATACCCTTTGCATACCGAATTGATGATCCAAAATCCCCAAACGATATCCACAGCCTGATAAATCTTTACTAGATGCCATCGTTCATCTTCCCCGCCGTCAGCGAGTCCAGGGGGAAGAAGCGACGCAAATAATGTCATCGCCATGATGGATGAAATAGGGCGCTATGAGATCAAAATGTGGGAGACAGGACACGAAAGAAGAAACGATGCGGAGCGGAGCGGTGAATGGAATGCCGCGACAAAAGTCTTGTCCGTCGATTTTTAAAAACCTGTCTTTTGCTTTGGATTTCCTCTTCCTGTTTACTTTTTCTTTTATTTTCTTACGAACGCTTGCGGTCCAATCCCTCCCCTTAAAATTTGAACCAAATCAACTCTCCAAAAAGCACCTCTCAACCACCGAGTTTTGCAAAACAGTGAAGGAAGCAACTTTAGTGGTTTCGCTATTCCCCCTCCAATCTGCCGAGTGGTTTGTGTGCCAGTTGCGTACAGCCCGTGTGTGTCCTCTTTCCGTGCAAAGCATTTTGGAGACCCAAATTCCGTTTACTTGTCTTCTTTTGTTTTTTTTTTCTTTTCAATCCTTTTTGTCTTTTGACGAACGCATGTTTGAACCAAAGGAACACTGTAGTTGTGATATTCACCACCGTTCAGCAAAGAACTTCGGGTGAAATCCATCTCCGCTACCACCGTTATACACAAAAGGCCGTTTTCATTTTCAGAACACTCCACGCGGCCCTTTTGAACGCTTACCTCATCACTTTTCCTTTTCTGTGCGATCGAGGCAACACTTTCTACTGGCACTTTGTCTTGCCTTCCCCCCCCCCCCCCCCCCCATATGACTTGCCGCGAGGGATCCATATAAAGGTCTTTTGTACCTCCGAACAAAATACCACATGCGACACATCTGGCAATCATTCAACTCGATTTCAAAAGAAATGAACGGTACAATTAAAAAAGGGAAAACACCATCAATGTACAGCTGTTACTCTATGGAACAGCAAAACACAAACGCTGGCTGCCATCAGAGCACACATTCTCCAACATATTTCAATGGTTGAGGTCATAAATGAGAACAAATGATGTGATCCGTAGAGGTTGCCTAGAAGATTTTTGCTCAAAAGAAAAGGTATCGAACCAAGCACAATACCACTCGGGAAGAACGGAGCAATGTTGTTAATCATGTATGTCAAAACTTTAAAAAAGCTC